TCCAAACTTTCCCTGGTTTTCTTGTCTTCTAAACTTTCACCAACATCTAGGCTTTTCCTAGCCTGTTCCTCCAACTTCCCCCAGCCTTTGCCCATTATCCAATTCCAAAGCCACTTCCACATTTTCAAGTATATAGCAACACCCCATTTCTCTGGTACCAATTTTCTGTCTTAGTCCGTTTCTGTTGCTTATAACAAAATACATGAAACTGGGTATTTTATAGGGCCGGCCCCGTGGCTCACTGGGTGAGCGTGGTACTGACAACACCAAGTCAAGGGTTAAGATCCCCTTACCGGTCATCTTTAAAAAAAAAAAAAAAAGAAGAAGAAACTGGGTATTTTATAAAGAAAAAAATTATTGCATACAGCTTTGGAGGCTTAGTCCAAAGTCCATCTGGTGGTGGTGACAGTGAACCAGGGGTCTCACACTGCAAGATGGTGTGAGTGGAGAAAACAGAGAGAGAGAGATTCTCCTCTCCTTTTAAACCCCTCAGAACCACACCCCTGATCACCATTTTTAATCCATTCACTATGGCACGGTCCTAGAATCTAATCACCTCCTCAAGGCTCCACCTTCCAATTACCATAATAGGATTTCCCACACTCTTAACAGTCACAGTGGGGACTAAGTTTCTAATACATAAAACTTGAGGGACACAATTCAAGCTTCAGAGAGTTTTGGGGGACATAATTCAATCCACTATAGCTGCTGTCTACCCAATCCCCAGAATGGCACATAGCACAGAGTAGGTGCTCAATAAATGTCTTGTTAGCAAAGGAATGTCTCAAATAATGAGGGCTCGAGGAACATGGGGCTCTGCCTTAAGCACCTACTGTGTAACAGGCACTGTTTTTGCTCCTCCATGAACCAGACAGACATGGATCCTGCCGAGGGCAGAAGGGGGACTCAGGCCCCAGACGGCAATAGTAACTGCCCCCCAGGATTATATAATTACCAGGCACAGCAGTGCTATCAGGGCAAATTCAGGCTGTTCCCAGGGATTCCCAGGAGACCTGTGCCATCCAGGCTGGGGACAAAGATTCTTTTGTGTGTTAAGGCACCTATAAGCTCCACCTGCCATCATCCCTGGGTGGGACCTGCCCCCGGCTGTTTATCTGCATACCTCCGCCTGCCCCCAGTTCACTTTCCCCAGGGTGATCCAGCTCCTTGGGATACCTGAAAGCAAAATGGGTGTATTTGGTGGGTCTTGAGACATCTTCTCTGAGGAAGGGTCAAAGGACACCCTAAGACTGTTCAGCCCTTCCCTTCCCCCCTCCAGGAAGAGGCCACTGATGGACCCCAAGAGGAGGACTCACCCCCAGGAAGCCTGCCAACAGTGAGTGACACTATTTCGGTTGGGGGATAAGTGGGTCCCTGGAGGAGGAGGGGCGTGGAGGGTGACGGGCAGTGACAGCTGAGAGTAACAGGGGATTTGGGGGCTGCAGAAACCACCCCCAGGCCCTGTTCCCTACCTTGGCACATTCCTCACGGACCTGGTTATGCTGGACACAGCCCTGCCGGACATGTTGGAGGTCTGACCCCTGACCCTTGACTCATGACTCCCACTCCACATGCCCCCAGCACAGTGGGACTCGCAACATCCACCCTTGATCCTGCCTGCACCCCTGACCCCAGCCCCCTTAGCACAGTGGGGTTCCTAACATCCCAGTCCATGAACTTTACCCTTGAGCCTTGACCACAGAAGCTCTAGTTCAGATGAACTTTGTCCCCAGGGGGATCTCATCAACTTTGAGAAGAGGAGGAAGGTGAGTGGGCATGGGAGTGGGTGTGCCGGGTGCCTGGCGGGGGGGGGAATGGAGCGGGGCTCAGGTCTCAGAGGCTGCTCCCCCAGGAGTGGGAGATTCTTGCCCGCATCCAGCAGCTGCAGAGGCGCTGTCAGAGCTACAGCCTGAGCCCCCGGCCGCCCATCCTGGCCGCCCTGCGTGCCCAGCGTCAGCTCAGCGAGGAGCAGAGGTGACCACCTTGTGGCCTGGAGGTCTCAGCGGCTGCTCCCCCAGGAGTGGGAGATTCTTGCCCGCATCCAGCAGCTGCAGAGGCGCTGTCAGAGCTACAGCCTGAGCCCCCGGCCGCCCATCCTGGCCGCCCTGCGTGCCCAGCGTCAGCTCAGCGAGGAGCAGAGGTGACCACCTTGTGGCCTGGCCCAGCCCCACCCCAGCTGACCCTGGATTCTGCTCACCACATGCACCTCTCCAGCTCTTCCCAAGATCCCTCCAGAGCCCTGAGCCCCAACCTGTGATCTTGTATTATCTGCAACCCAATCAAGGGCCCCAGTCGACCTCTGACCTCTAAACATTGACCCCATCTGTCTTTCTGACTTCAACTCAACTGTCCCATCCGTTCTCCTCCCCAACTTCTGATCCTGACCCATGACCCCCATCTGACTCCCTGACCCCAATCATTAACCCCCAGTTGTGAGTAACTGACTCCAAATTTGGTGTTTATTTGACCACCCAGCTCGACTTTCCCAGATGTTTCCTTGCATCCGGCTGCATCATGACCTGGACCACTGGCCCCAGTGGTTGCCTGACCCCTATCTGACCTTGACCCAATTTGACTCAGTCCTGCATCATGAATCCCCCTGTGACCTGCCAGCCACGCCATCCCACTTACTCCCTGATAAGACCCCGGTGTCTCAATGACCCCCAATTACAACTCTGACCCTGACATTTGGAGCCTGACAGTGGCTGCTCCCCCATCACACCCAGAACCCGGCTCCCAACTGATTCTAACTCTTATGTCTTCACCTCCTGCTGCTTCCCGGTCCCCCTTTCCATCCACACGTTGACCCCTCAGCTACCGAGTCTCCCGTGTCATCGAGCCACCGGCTGCCTCCTGCCCCAGCTCCCCACGGCTCCGGCGGCACATCAGCCTCACCAAGCGCCTCAGCGTGTGAGTCTCGGGGTGTCTGTGTGTGTGTAGGGTGCTGCTCCTGGGGCTGAGTCTGGCCTCAGCCACATCCCCCATCCCCATCCTCAGGAAGCTGGCCCGAGAGAAAAGTTCATTCTCTGATGGGAGTCCTGGGGATCCCTCTTCACCCACCTCCAGGTGAGCATCTCACTTGGTAAAAGGACTAGAGACAGCAGGATCAGGTGTCCGGGCAGCCACCCAACCTCGAGCTCTGTGTCTCCCCCAGTCTGTCCCCAGGGTCCCCTCCATCCAGTCCTACAGCCAGGGACCCTCCTCCTGGCTGTCCCCCGAACTCCCCAGGGCCCCAGGGCCCCAGCACCAAGGTACCAAGACTGCTTGTGCGTGCATGTGGGACTGCGGACACCCAGGGTTGTGTGTGTGTGTGTGCGTGTGTGTGTACGTGTACACACAGGATTGTGGGACCAAGTGTGTGTACGGGAAACTGGCTGAGGACTCTGCATATTCATCCAGGGTACCATGTGCATCTCCATGGTCTGCGGACACCCAGGGTTGTGTGTGTGTGTGTGCGTGTGTGTGTACGTGTACACACAGGATTATGGGACCAAGTGTGTGTACGGGAAACTGGCTGAGGACTCTGCATATTCATCCAGGGTACCATGTGCGTCTCCATGGCAACTGGCTGAGGACTCTGCATATTCATCCAGGGTACCATGTGCATCTCCATGGTCCTGTTTGAGCGATCGTCCAACAATCTGGCTTGTGCTCAGATCTGGAACTGCACGGGGCACTCGGGAGCAGTCACACACTTTTTCAAAGACATGGGTGTCCCTAGGAATCTGTATACCTGAAGGGGAAAGTGGGTCTGAATATCTGCCATTTGTGGGGTTGTTCCTTGATATGGGCTGTGGGTGTATGCCGGCCGTGGGCAAGTGCTTGCACACTGCTGTCTGTGTACACAGGATTTCTTGTGTGTGAGCGTGGGTTTGTGTGTATAAGGGTCATGTGTACATGTTTCTGTAACAGAGAACCAAGGTCTGTATATGCTACAATGACATATATGTGGGCTTATGTGTATGCCCTAATTGCATGCCAGGCTCTGGGTGTGTAGTTGTGTGTACTTGGGATTGTAAGCGTGGGCCTCTTGAAGACACCAGTGGGGGAGAGGATCGTGGTCTCCAGCCCCACATCCTCTGCAGATGGGCAAAGTTGCAAGCCCTGACCCCCACTGCCTACAGCTGCCCCTGAGTCCGGACCTGCCAGGCTCCCAGCCCCTGGCCTTGCCCTTGGGCAGCCCTCGCATGCCTCTCCTGGGGCAGCAGAGCTCAGAGGCCCGCATCATCCGCATCAGTATCAACAACGACCATGGGAACCTGTATCGGAGCATCTTGGTAAGGGGCTGGCGGGGGGCCTGCTGGGGACAGCCCTGCCTTTGGCACTGGGGCACTCACACCGCACTCCTGCCCCTCTCTTCCAGCTTACTAGTCAGGACAAAGCCCCCAGTGTGGTGCGGAGAGCCTTGCAGAAACACAATGTCCCCCAGCCCTGGGACCGGGACTACCAGCTCTTCCAAGTCCTTCCTGGGGACAGGGGTGAGCAGGGACAGCTTGGAGCCCAGGTTGGGAGGAGGGCAGCTGAGAGGGCAGTAGACTGGCCAGGGTCAAGGATGGAGCCCAGTGTTACCTGGGCTCAGAGGGCCTTGAGGTGGTTCAGGCACAGAGGGCAGGGGTAAGAGGTCATAAAATGTCTGTGCCTCAATTCTTTGGGGTCATCACATTGTCCTGGCTCAGTGTGAGGGAGAGAGGCATCAGAGGTCATCTTCCTAGGATTTATGGGGCAATGAGATTATCCAGGGTCAAATAGGAGAAGGGATTGTAGAAGGTTATTGGACCTTAAGTTTGTAGGATCATGAGGTTGTTTGGGGTCACATGGTGGGGTGGGAAACTGAAGGGGGTGAACTTGGATTTGTGAGAAAATGAGTTTATCCAGGCAAAGCATGGGGACCCTGAAGTTATCCAAACTTGAGATGGGAGAGCACCAAATGGTATTGAACTCAGGCTGGGGGAGCATGAGGTTGTCTGGTGCAGTGGTCAGTAGGAGGTTGTCCAGTCTTTGACGGGGAAAGGCAAGAGGTTGACAGTATTCATGCTGAACGGTGTGACACAGAGTTGACTGGATATTAGGAAAGAATCCACGAGGTTGTTCAGGCATCGAGTGTGGCCATAAGGTTGTGCAGGCCGGAATTGAGAAGTCATTCAAGTTCATGGTGAGAGAGTATGAACTTGGCTGGGAAATGGTTGGAGGAGAGGGGTGGGGTGGGCAGAAAGTCGTTTGGGGTGGGTGGCTGGTGTTTGCACGAACTTGTAGTGCAGGTTGTCCAGACTCCAGGAGGAAAAGATAGGAGTTGTCCAGGCTTATGGTGGGGGGAGGCATAGGCTTTTATGGGCTTTGAGTGGGAAGTTGTCCAGATTCCCAATGAGAGGAGAATAAAGTTGGCCTGACACTTACTAGAGGGACCCAAAGCTGTTCAGGCCCTAGGGTGAATGGTAGAAGGTTACCCAGGTCTTTTATGGGGGAGGCATGAGGTTGTACAAGCCCATCACCATGATCTTCCTCCCTGACCAGAGCTCCTGATTCCTGACAATGCCAATGTCTTCTATGCAATGAGTCCAGCTGCCCCCGGAGACTTCGTGCTGCGACGGAAGGAAGGGACCCAGCACATGCCCTCTCTGTATTCGACCTGAGGCAGGCCTCTCCTCCCCCTGGGACACAGGCCCCATGGGAAGCTAAAGACCAGGATTCTATCACCATGAGGATGGTGGATCTTTCTCCTGGACAGCCTCCATCCCCCAGGAGAAGCCTTTGTGCTCTGTAATCTGTGGCTCTCCCTTCCACTTTTATTTCTTTTTTGGTGGCTGGTCAGTAGAAGGATCTGAACCCACGACCTTGGTGTTATAATGCAGTGCTCTGACCAACTGAGCTCACTGGCCAGCCCACTGGACCCCATCTCTCAGACCTTCTTGTCCCTAGATCCCTATTCCCAAGACATCAGCCCACGTGGTGGCTGGTGGAGAGCTCCATCCCATAAACACAGAGGGGCATGGAGGGGGGGGTCAGACCACTCCCTAGAGAAATCATATAACTGTTGGAGACACATTTGAACTGACAGAAGTAGATGATGACAATGACCAAAGTGATGAATCAGGAGGCACTCTTGTGTGCTGTCCACCTGCGTGCCACATCCGCCCTTTATCAAGACAGAAAACGAGAACAAAATTGCAGAGAAAAGCTAAGACCTCAAAGAAAGGGGTGGGGTGAGGCATGACTGGATGCCAGAGAGGAGCCTGTCACACACAGAGGGTTCAGGACTTCCTCCCCCAACATTTTTGGGGTGAAACGCCTCTTTTCTGTTTTGTCTATGGGAGAGTGAAGAAATGAATTTCCATTGGAATGAGAGGTAAATAATGTCATCACACATGAGTCGATAAGGGCCATGAGAGTGAAAATAAAGGGGTGAGCCATCTGTCTGTGCTGGGGAGGATAGACGGAGCCGAGACGATGTGAGCTGTAGAGCCAACTGCAACCCAGTAACAGCAGCAACAGCAATAATATCACAGCCACTGGTGACCTCCTACTCTGCGCTGGACATCAACACGGGGCTTTATATCTCACTCTGTCAATCAGGGTTCTTTCTGTTTCATGTGGTGAAAAATCCAATTCAAACAAGCACTGGCAAAAAAGGAAATTAATGGTTCACATCCGCTTGGGAGCGCGGTGGCGCTCCCGCCAAGGGTTCGGATCCCACATACAGACCAGTTCCCGCTCACTGGCAGAGCGAGGTGTGGGAGCAACACCGAGGGTTGCGATCCCGTTGCCGGTCCCGGTCCGGTACAGGCGCGACACTGAGGGTTGCGATCTGTTGCCGGACACGAAAAAAGACAAAAAGGAAAAAAAAAAACGCCGCTTGGGAGCGCGGTGGTGCTCCCGCCGAGGGTTCGGATCCCACATGCAGACCGGTTCCCGCTCACTGGCTGAGCGAGGTGTGGGAGCAACACCGAGGGTTGCGATCCCGTTGCCGGTCCCGGTCCGGTACAGGCGCGACACTGAGGGTTGCGATCTGTTGCCGGACACGAAAAAAGACAAAAAGGAAAAAAAAAAAAAAAAAAGAAAAGAAAAGTCTGAGAGGTGCAGCTTCAGGCACAGTTGGATTAAGGTTGTCATCAGGATTTTGTTGCTGTCTTTTGGCTCTGATTTGCTCTGAGAATGAGACTGTCCACTGTCCCCCCAAATCCAATTCTTCTATGATGATAGAACCACTGATTTTTAGCTGGCCACGCAAAGTAATCGCCACATTTCCTGAATCCCCTGCAGCAAGGTGTGGTCCTGTGACTAACTCTTAGCCAATGATATGTAAAGTAAAAGGACATAGGCAAATTCCAGGGCCTGCCTTTAATGGGAAGGGGTGTGTCCTCTTTTTCCCCCTTTTTCTGCTTCCTGCTGGTTGGAATGAAGAGGTGGAGGGGATCATCTTTGATTGGGTGTTCATGCCCCCTGAATAGCTAAGCAAGAAGCTGGAAGAAGCCTGGACAACTAAGACCAGGGAACTGCCATATTGTATTGCTGCTACTTGGAATATTATATGAGAGAAATAAATTTTTATCTTACTTAAGCCAGTCTTATTTGAGTCTCTGTTGCAGTAGCCAAAAGAACATGTAAATATAGCCCCGCTCCAAGGCAGGCTCACACCTCCTGGGGGGGGAGTGCCAGGCTTACTTCCCATAAGCTCCCGCCTCCCATGCGTCAGAGCCCCTCCTTCCCATCCGCTCCAACAAAAGTCCCAGAACAGATCCCCACTGACCAACTTATGTCATGTGTCCACCCCTGAACCCATCACTGTGTTCAGAGGAATGTGATATCCTGATTAGTTAATAGGCAAAAAACAATCCCGTATTGGTTCGTTTCTGTTGCTCATAACAGGATACCTGAAACTGGGTAATTTATAAAGAAATGAAATTTGTTTCCTACAGTTTGGAAGCTGGGAAATCCATGGTCCAGGGAGCCCATCTGGTGAGGACCTTCTTGAGTGACTCTATAGCCACACAGGGTGTCACATGAAGAGAATGGCCTGAGCAAGAGAGCTAACCTTCTTACTCTCCTTATAAAGCCATCTGTACCGTACCTGTGACAACCCATTAAACCATCAACCCATTACTCCATGTATGGATCAATCCATTCCCAAGGGCACAGACCTCACGATCTAATCACCTCTTAAAGGGCCCATCTCCCACCAACATACTGGAGGTGAAGTTCCAACAGGAGCTTAGGGGGATATTCAAATAACAGCAAATCCCTAGGGTTCTAAACATTGTCCCTGGAGTAATAAAGGAATGCCAGGCACTGGCTAGGGTGCGAGAGAATCCACCCCTGAACCCATCACTGTGTTCAGAGGAATGTGATATCCTGATTAGTTAATAGGCAAAAAACAATCCCGTATTGGTTCGTTTCTGTTGCTCATAACAGGATACCTGAAACTGGGTAATTTATAAAGAAATGAAATTTGTTTCCTACAGTTTGGAAGCTGGGAAATCCATGGTCCAGGGAGCCCATCTGGTGAGGACCTTCTTGAGTGACTCTATAGCCACACAGGGTGTCACATGAAGAGAATGGCCTGAGCAAGAGAGCTAACCTTCTTACTCTCCTTTTAAAGCCATCTGTACCGTACCTGTGACAACCCATTAAACCATCAACCCATTACTCCATGTATGGATCAATCCATTCCCAAGGGCACAGACCTCATGTTTTTTTAAAGATGACTGGTAAGGGGATCTTAACCCTTCACTTGGTGTTGTCAGCACCACGTTCACCCAGTGAGCTACCCAGCCATCCCTATATAGGATCCGAACCCATGGCCTTGGTCTTATCAGCACCACACTCTCCCGAGTGAGCCACGGGCCAGCTCCTCGTTTGCTTTTACTTATTTATTTTTTATCTTTTGTGTGTGTGTTTTGGGGATGGGGGTTGGGCGGCTGTCTTGTGGGATCTGAACCCCTGACCTTGGCGTTATCATATCAGCACCGTGCTCTACCAAGTGGGCTAACCAGCCATCACCTTGTATTATCTTTTCATTCAATCTTTCCACAAACTTTGTGGAAGGTACTTTTTGTACCTTCATTCACGTCCAGTGATAATAAGCACAGTAGATGCAGAAGGGGGGGGGGAAGCCAATTAAGGGCGATAGGGAGTGAAGGGTGGGAGGGTTGCTATTATATTTTATTGTTTTAATTTTTATTTATTTTGGGGGGGCAGCCAGCCGGTACAGGGATCTGCACTCTTGACCTTGGTGTTAACAGCACTACACTCTAACCAACTGACCTAATTCAGCCAGCCCAGTTGCTATTTTAAATAGGGTAATCATGGAGGGCTTCATTATGGAGGTGACATTTAGGCAGAATGGCCTGAATAAAGTGAGGGAATGAGCTTGGTGGATATCTACAGGAAGAGTCTTCCAGTTAGAGGAAACAGTGTAAAAGTCCAAGTTAGTTTCACCATCAGTCAATTTCTTCTCCTCCAGTGGCAAAGATGCTTCTGCCCAGCCCATCCTCCAATCTAAAGGTGCAACCCCTTTTTAATTCCTCTAGCTAAAAGTCCCAGGATGGGGCCGGCCTGTGGCTCACTCGGGAGAGTGCGGTGCTAATAACACCAAGGTCCCAGGTTCGGATCCCATATAGGGATGGCCGGTTTGCTCACTGGGTGAGCGTGGTGCTGACAACACCAAGTCAAGGGTTAAGATCCCCTTACCGGTCGTCTTTAAAAAAAAATTAAAAGATAAATAAAAATTAAAAAAATAAACAAAAGTCCCAGGATGGAGGCTCATTGGCTGCTTTTGAGTCACATGTTCACCCTGAATCAATCACTGTTCCTCCGGGAATGGCCTGCTCTGATTGGCTAGTCTGTGGCAGGCAAGAGTAATGAGGTACCCACCCCCTCCCCCAGGCATACACCTCTGTGCAGATGTACCCCAGCTTCAGAAGCTCCACCCAAGGAATAGTTTCTATGATTTGTTTTATAATTACTTTCCAGATCATTAAAAGAACTGTATACTCCTTGTGAAATTAAAAAAACCAAAAGTATAAAAGGGTAAGTAAGCAAGACTTTTTTTCAAAAAATCATAAATGAGGGCCAGCCCATGTCTCACTCGGGAGAGTGCGGTGCTGGTAACACCAAGGTCACGGGTTCGGATCCCATATAGGGATGGCCGGTTCGCTCACTGGGCGTGGTGCTGACAACACCAAGTCAAGGGTTAAGATCCCCTTACTGGTCATCTTTAAAAAAAAAAATCAAAAAAAATCATAAATGCAATCTCACACTCCCAAATATGTGTAATTTTACAGATATAGGACCATGTTTTATCTGCTGTCTGGCGGCACAGCCCAGCACTGTGCAAACACTCAACTGCTAGGCGTTATAAGGATTTTTATTTATTATTTATTTCCAGAGTGGGAAAAGATGCCAATTAGCGTGATAATATCAGTAGCTTAGTTTTGGAATGTTTGCTATGTGCCAGGCTTGATTTTACAGATGAGAAGGCTGAAGCTCAGATAAGGTAAGTCACTTGTCCAGGGTCACATAGCAAAAAAGTGTGTCTGACGTCAGATCGGGAGCTGATTCCATCCCCTAAGCGGTCTCTGATCCCCAGAGGGACCCTGCCCCCGCCCCACGCCTGGCGCTTATCTCTGCCCAGGCTGCGTGCTGGCCCCGCCTCCTCGGTGGAGCTGCCACTTGGAGGCGCCTGGCCGGGAAGGGCCTGGCCAGCTGTGTCCGGCGGAGGCAGCTGCTGACCCAGCTGT